TGCACGGGGAATATACCTTGCGATGTTGTAAAACGATAAACGAAGGTGGATGGGGAGGATGCGGCGTTGTAGGTAGGGTTCGCTCTCGATACGAAATATTATTTCCACTCTATTTTTAACCAGGTATAGAGGTATAGGTAATAGCTGGTACCTACCATATTATATCTGTTAATTGCCATCTCGTTTCCGCGCTGGCTAATCATATATATTGTGCAGATAGGTACCTATACAGCAGCGTCGGTGGCGTTAATACACAAAACATATTTTACGTAACTGAAATTACGACAAATTATGTTTCCGTTATTATAATGTCTGCGTTTAAATTTACTGCACGGAGTTTAGTATATTCACGAAAGTTTAAAGCGGAATTTTCCATGAAAACCAAAACTTCTAAACCCCGCGCTGCTGCCCCGACAAATATTATACACATGTCGTTGTTTATATATTATTATTTTGTCTCTTGTTATTATATTATTCGTTATGTATGCTTTTAAGCTTTACACAATCCGTTGCTCTCTGCCTCTCTCTCTCTCTCTCTCTCTCTCTCTCTCTCTCTCTCTGCAGTCTACAGTTATTTATTATTTGATAGAAACATGTTTTAGTTGCGGGGCAGACGGAAATGCGCTTCGACTTATTCAACAATTATAAAAGTACAATTAATTATTATGCAGCGACTCGTACACGACGGCACCCCGTCGCGTGTCCCGCCGCGCCGCACAGTCTTCTTTCGAACGTCGAGCGTAATGCACTTTTATTTTCACATGTCTTAACACATCTTCATTAGTATTCCACCACGCGGCCGTCTTACACGCGCGCGCTCAAATGCACATGTACGAACCGTTGACATTTCAAAAGCCTTTATATTATGTATATATATATATATGTATAAACTCGAGCGAAAGACAAATATATATATTATACAGAGAGAGAGGAAGATAGATAAAGATCCTTTTGGACGAATCTAAAGTGCGCGCATTATACTCTTTCAGAAATGTGCTATGTAGGTAGGTATATATATATATAGTTACCCACAGTAATTTTTGTGCGTTGCCCGCCCGCTTGGTCGTTTGCGTTATAGTGACGTCGTAAAGTCTTTGAATTTTTCGTTTTAATTACAGTAAACTCGCATGGTATTGTAGTGGGTCTATACAATTTAAACACACCCATATAATATATTATAACATAGACATACTATATGCTCGCTACTCGTATGGGACCACGTGGGCCTGCAGTGTATTATGAAAAATGAGACCACAGTGTCGCGTTCTTGGATCGTATTGTATATAAAAAAAACAGGTAGGTATGTAACATAAAATTATACTCGTCCGTATAATCGAAAAACGTAGCTCGTTCAAAAGCGTGTCTTGTGTGACTGCGCTGCCAGCTATATATTTATTATATCTCGTTGATTAGCGTCGTGTTCGGACATCCGTTCTGCCAACCGTCCCATACTCCCATTCCTGTATATATATATTATATACTCATCTGCCAGCATTAAACCATCCGTCGGAGACGCGTGAAAATTACGTTGTAAATTTACGGTTGTTAATTTTATATTAAATACACCGCCTCGGGAGCCTGCACCGGTGCGCTGGAGACCGGCTCTATATACCCATAATATATGATATATATATATGCTGCAGAAGAAGACGGAGAAGAAAATGAAGACGACGACGGAGAATTAACTAGCGTTCAACAAAAGGATACCACCACAATAATAATAATAATAATAATATATATATAATTTTGGTGTACGTGTGTGCGTCTCTAATAATGACTACCTGCAACCGAGAAAGAATGACGGGTTGTATATATTATACCTCGTGTATGTGTGTGTGTGATGTAAGAAAAAATGTGGACGGCCATGAAACTCCTCGGCTAGCGTATAGGGTGACTTGTGTATGTGTGTGCGTACGTGTGTTCAGCGACGTGCGACTCCAAAGGGTTGCCTGTCTGTCTGTCTGTCTCGGACGAGGAGAGCCCTAAAGCGACCAATAACTCTTTGTCACGGTGTTATTCCCAAATGATCTCCGAACGCGCACACACATACACACAAAGCACCGATCATTAAGTAGCACGCATGTTCGTTGTTCGTGACTGCGCAATGAGATTTCAATTCCGGTTTGGCTTTTTGATATTTTTTTTCGTCTCCAATAATATTTTATTACACCGAAGAACAAGACTATAGTCTCAAAAAAATTTAACACAATAACATATTATTTTTCAATTGCGACGGCGCTCGTTTATTTTTGCGAGTGCTTATAATATATGTGATGTGTTCCTACGTAGTTGGATTTGTCGATCGACCGCGTCCCTAAACAATTATACAGTTTCAATATATTACTCTATCCTCAATGGCATATTTTGTTACACTATAGACTGTCCCGTTGGCGCCGCCTGTGTGTTATCCGATTATACTGCAGCTGAGTTATTATACTATTCTCTAATCGATTATCGACACCTCCGTACGAAATGGTTTTTTTGAACGGCTGCACAATTTACTGTGCCGCCGAATTACGCGTGATCCAGACGAGCTAAACATGTAATTCGCCCCCCCCCCCTTCCTCGCCACATTTTCGATGTAAATCCTTTTATTTACACAATTAGCAGGCGGGTTTAGCTGAAAGTCTATCGGTCGTTTGATATCATCGAAAATTGTGTATTCTACTCTCCAAACAGGCGCCTTTATATACGGCCACTAATGCGATACAATATAATATGGTCGATATGCACTTTTAGCCGAGCCGCGCACCGAATCGTCTATAAATGTATTAGATTTTACGCTGTCAGTCGCGATTTGAAAGTCTCATGTATATATAGCATCTGCCGGATAAAATCCTCCTTTGATCTATAACTGCGACGTATGACCAACCACCCATTTCTTCAGCCGAGTGTAGAGAGTATAATATTATGTTAGATTATAAAATTGTATATAAGCGAATATATGCGCATACACAAACGAATGATTTAATCATTTGATTACCTCTGAAAATCAAAAGCTATATAAGTGTTTTTTAATGGCGTATTTTTTGGAGGAGGCGTCCTGCATGGAGCAATGAACATATATAATGAAGGATTGCTGCACCCTCCATATAAATAGAAAATAATGATTTTACCTAACCAGCGATCTATTTTTTAATCAAAAGTTAAAATTGACATTTAATTGCAAACAGATTTTTGTTTAGATATATGCGTCTTATTATCTGTAAAATTCTACAGTCTAGACTCTAGAGATCTACCTAAATGTTATAGATTTGGTTTTTAAATTCATATATTAAAATATTATGTAACATATTATATTATCCAATGGCATAATATTTTATAGGTATAACTGAATTACGTATAAGTATAGAATTTATAGCAGTTATATATTTCTACCGCTAATCACAATTATTTCTAACTGCTATAAATTCAGGTGCATTTAGTGCACAGTTGTATTTTTACTCGATAACAAAGGTTTTTTTGTCAACAAAATTGAAAAATTGATGCTTTTTATAATCTTTAATTTATACCTAGTACAGCTAGCCTCTAAATCACCTTAGTTTTGATTGACGTCGAAGACGCTCACACGCGTACATATCACCTTAAGCTAGCACGAATGGTATTCATGTTGGTTTATATATAGTTAAAATTGTAAACAATTATTAAATTTATAATTATTTAAAATCATGTTGGACTTTGTTCATATCAGTGTGTCGGGTTTCGTGCTTCTGTCGAAGTTTTAATGTTAATATACGAAAATAAAGAGAGATAAAATACTCTAAAATCTAATTTTCTAATTTGTATCTCTGAATAATATTATTAAAAAATAATGTATTAAATGGTCGATTCAGAATAAATTGTACCACATGTTATGAATTTTTATTATTTTCTATTTTTAACTTTGAAATTTCATGCAAATTAATTAATTTGTTTGCTCGGTTATCATAATTTATAATAAAGTAATCCTGTTTGGAATTTATAAACTATTAAACTATTATTATTTAATATTTACAAAAATTAGACACCTCTCGAGGAATTATCAACGAAATACGCCCGCAGCATTTCTATAATATGTATAGACAGAACGTTTCCACAACGCAGCCAGTCCAGTAGTAAGGTTGTTTTTATGTAATTTTTATTATTATAATTTATAATAATATATAAAATATGTAGATTCCAGCGTTCATTTTAATGCGGGTACTTATCAATTTAAAACGGGTTGTACTCACACAGACACTCGCCTGTTGAGTTTCAATATCATAGGTAGTATATAATTTTATTAGTTGAAAAAAATGTTTACATATACATAATAATGTATATAATTATTATTACAGTAGTAAGATTATTATAATAATAATATATATATAGTCCTGGAAATGTTGTTTTCATACTTGGATCGCATAAATAGGATTAAATTAATACAGGATTAAATTCTGTATAGGTTTCCTACCTGCATGTCAATACGTCCCTCGAGAAAATCTGAGATAATAATAATCGTTTATGATTCGCATGACTCGGCTGATCTGAGTATCTCTGATTATTATAAATGTTATTATAATTGTTTTCTACAATAAAAATCACACAAATTTTATCTCATAAAATATATTTGAATTCTTGTTCTTATTGCGTCATTTAGATACACTATATATCAAATATTCGAACGACCTACTTGTTATAATATACCTACACGACATCATTCGATACGATAGTGTACATTTTACATGCCTATGTCATGAAGTGTTTTCGGAAAAGCCAGTATAGAGAGCACTATAGCTTTTAATCCATATCAGACTTCTATCGTTTTATCGGAAAGATTAATATTTCTGGTGGATGACACACGCTCGTCGCTCGGTGTTACATTTTGATTATACTTACGACGATTACAGCTGCGATTGGCGGTCGACGCGATTCGATTAAGTACTATAATAGTAACAATACTCGACTATAATGATAATATACAATTTCGAGTTTTCGCGGGACATACAATCGATTTTGTTTTCATAATATGTGTACGAAAGCTACACAATATCGTCGCGGAATACGTGCCCCGAAGATCCACTCCGGTCAGCGAGTAATGTTATTGCAGCGACGAAACTCGAAACCGTCGTCTGGGCGCACAAACGTCTACAAACGCGCACTGTCGCTTTCGTTTTTTTGGCCGGGTAGCGGAGTCTCTTAATTGGTTTTTGTTTTTCTGTTTCTTGAGGCTTTTGAACGCCTTTGGTCGTGAACCGAATACCGAACATCGTCACGTCCGCCCTCGACGTTTCCCCCAAAACGTATATAGCAAGCCCGTTGGCGCAATCTCGTGCCATTCTCGTTTTAAATTTTCTCGGGAGAAATTAAAAAAAATATAACGCTTTGGTAGAAACGCTCCGCGGTATAAGTTTATTATTATGTTTGTCGCAAGAAAATCGATTTCTTATATTGTAATAGTCATCGCTCATCAAATCAACATTGTGTGATTGGAATTTAAAACCAATAGGTATCAAACCTGCTGACCTATCGACATTTCATCGAACCTGCAGTACAATTACGTGTACTTATATTTCAAGTGATTTTTACAAATTCGTGTGCGCATAAAACGGTCCATATTGATATTAGCGTATAAAATGTTCAAATTGTGCTTGTAACGAGAGAAAAAAATTTTGTGTATATATTATAAACGGCGATGAATGACGTGTCAAATCGCTTGTCGAGTGGATTAGTTTTTAATTGTTTCGTATTAATTTCACTTATATACAATACGCCGCCGCAAAGGTCAAGAGCCAAGAGCGAATCAATTAAAGGCACTGATATTTTCATTCGTTTACTGCGGTGGCGACGGCGACGACGACAATGTGTTGAATCGCAGTCTCATTCATAATATAAATTATAAATGCATAAAGGTGATTGTCGAGTGATGTATAGTTACATTATTTACATTATACTATAATAATATAGTGTTTTAACAATAATAATAAAAGTTCTCTACTCTCAAGTACGGAAGCTGCCACTCTTTTCGGGAGCGCTGCACACTTATGTGTCAACATTTTTTTACGACAAGGTACTCACCACCTATACTAAATGAACAACAAAAAAAGTAATTTTTATAGGTAACTTTTGTTATATCCATAACGTTCATAATAGTTATATTTACTTTATTAGTTCATAGGTATATGATGTAATATTCCACCAGACACCCACCATCCATTTTGACGGGTGTAGAGACCCTTCCGTGAGCCGCTCTATCACTGGCTCTAGGCGATTTTATATTTCTTTTCGCTACTTAGCTCTTCCGTTTTTCAATTTTTCCGTCCAATATTTTTCTCCGGCGCGGCTGCTGCAGGGCGGTAGCGACTTACGTCGGATTACGCATAACTGTTGTATATTACATAATTATATAATTATTATATTATACTCGTACAGAAATTATCATATATATATATATATATATACGGTACTTACACCTCCGCTGCAGCAGGTAATTGTCGACTCGTTGAAACGACGCCCCGCGGGGAGACTGAATGTGCGCCTGCAGCAGACCCGTCGCGCGGATGAGAAGCTCTTAGTAAATTGTTTCGCTATATAAAGTATACCATACATAGTGTGTATAATGTATATATATATATATGCGCACAATGCCGGCTAATGGCGAGTCAGCAGTGATAGAGAGACGACGGGTGGACGGTTGAACGGACGGTGAACCTATATATATATATATATTACACTTGTGTGGCACTAATCAGAGTGTGTCTGAGTGCGACAATATACACACAAACGTTATAAATGATTTGCAATTAACGCATTGAATTTGCACCGGCAGCAGTATATACTATATATATATAAATACTGTACGGGCGAGTATAAACAATAATAATTAGTGTACCTATATATATATATGGAATAACCTCACACCCTCCACCCTCGATAGCACTGTCCGGGAGTGTGACGTGAATTGAATGCACGTGCAAACGCAATTTATACTAACCATTTCACTACTGTGTGGGGGTACACGTCCTTATCAGTTTAAATTATTAGACGCGTCATGGACAAATAAAATACATTAGGACGATTTCTGAATTCTTTAGCCAATGGAAGCGGAAAATCCCATCATGGTCTCAAAACTGCGTTTTTTTTTATTCAAAAATCTTTAACTACCTATATATTATTATGTATCTATACTAATTACGCACGGAACATAACAGCAAATAAGTGTATTATCTATACATAATATAGAAAATTTGATTTCGATTGATTTTTGATTTAATTTATTTCATTTCATCGAGCGTTTTGGGAACTATAAGTAGACCTCCGTACTCAATAATGGATTTATAAGATAATTTATAATTCATAGTACCTACGTGTTGATTAAATTTTTTTTTTAATTTTCTGTGTAGTTTAGGGTAGGTAGTGAAACATTTTAACAAATTTGTGAATATTGTTCAACACTATAGGTATATGGTTATATTTGATTTTTTCTGTTTGGCTGAGAAGAAAAGGCTATATATATCTATCGATGGTGAGCTGTGTGCATTTGCCCATTAATTTATTCAATAAACTCACTTGTTCACTTCTACTTTAAATTATAGGCGCGGTAACACCGCTGCCATACGAACACAACCGTTTAAAATTATTTGAGTATTCGATTACCCAGCTAGATAGCTATATCGTTTATTCCTTACACAACCAACTCTGTCCACCTTGCACCGTCATCAACTGACTTAAGAGTTTTTGACGTCACGCCGCTGCTTGCGCGGACGACGGAAATTCTAATCAAAAATCTTGTGCGGTTTCCACGTCGGAGGTTATCGTTGTGTTTGCATTGAGCGACGTCGTTCGGGTGGAATGAACAAAAAAATTATAAAAACATAAAAATAAAAAACAGACAAAGCAGTCAAAGTCGAATAATCATTTTCAGTTTCACTCGTCGCCGTTGCATTTGGGATGAGATCGAATTTCCGACGTACACACGTTTTCCTCTCCCGTGGTGGTTTCTCCTCCTCACTAATCATATTTCATTATCGTTCACGTCTCGCGTGCCTATATAGAAGACGCGGAGTATAACTCTCTATGACGACGTTCTTTAAATTTTTTTAGGGTTCCTGCCTCAGGCCTAAGTCGCCTAACCGTAAAAAAAATTAATAACAATAATAATATACGGTCATTAACGAAACTCTGGACCGATCGTAAAAAAAAACAATATTTTATATTTAGAACGGCGGCGTAGCTTATTATATTATTTATTATATTAATGCGTTTTTGACCTACCACTTTGTTGTTGTCATCGCGGAGTACTTATCGAGACGAGAGGAGGTCACACACGTGTAAGTACGCGTAGGTATACGTAAAGTTAACCTGTAACAGTATATATAACATAATAATACATACTATTATGATACACGCACGTATTTGTTTCTCCTCGCAAGTCCCGATGGTTGATCGGGGGGGGGGGGTGTTATCGTATAGTCAGTCGTCGTATACGAAATATTAATCATACTTTCGTCGGGAAATCGCCGTTGAACACGCGCGAGTCTCTCTTCCGCTAAACGAGTATTTAACACGTCCGCCCACCTTTAGTGCACCCCATGCTTTATAACCCCTAACCACCCCTATGAAAAAAACAACCGTTATAGTCGGCCGATCAAAATTGTTTTCCTCTAGTTATCAAAGGTCTATAACTCTCACGCGCTTGTAGTAAAGACCGCCGATTTTCGTCTCAAATGACGCGATTGCGTGGAGGCTTATTATGTTTGTGTGCGTCTACGCCTGTATACTCTGTACCGAATATCACTACAGTCATTGGTATTATTATTATTATTTATGGTGATGAGAAAAATAAAACTTGAGTAATATTTTCAGCGACCCCTCGAGATCGGTGCTTCGATATGGTATTCACTATATAATTATATTATATCTTACGAGACTTTTGCATTTTAAAAACTTTACACACAATCAAATCATCACTTCTTGCGGGGGTAGATGATATATTTTAGTATATCCAGGGTGGCCCACCCTTAGGTCATAATATACAGCACAGTATTTGTTTATAATCTATTATCTATGCAGTGGTGGATTTAACAGAGTAAATATGGACATTTTCGGACTGGGCACTAGCTCGCTCGGGGGCCTGAACTCTGAACCTTTACAATTTGATTTTTACTATATACCAAAATCATAATGGAAAACGATTCGATCCATTAATTTCAGTAATGATGCTTGTCATGTGTGCATCGTCTGTGATGGTAATATATAATAACTGCATCTCAAAAATCTCAAACACGTAGTCGTATATTATTGACAATCTGTACACATGTATTTATTTTTAATCTTTTATGTTGTAATCGTCAGTCGTCTACATTAAAAAACATTACAATCGATAAATAATTTACAACAGAAGGCAAGAAAAAGGTTATTATAGTAACCAAGTATAGTGTAGTGTTTGTATTCATCTTTACACATTGAAATGATTTCTAAAAGCTTAAAATAAACCTATTTTTAGTTACAATTTTGATGTTGAATTTTATATACAGATACCTATAATCGGGTAATTATTGTATAGTTAAATTATAATTAAGGTAATTTAACTAAAAATATATTTATTGAAAAACGAAAATGTTACCTTATCCCTACAGAATAATAGTTTTTTAATTGTTATATATTATGTTTTTTGACTGAAATCTGCAGGCCTTTTTCTTTATATCCGCCACTGGATCTACAGTGCGGGTTAATAAGTCCATTTTCGCATCGACAATATATCATTATATTATAAATTCATATGCGTACCTATATATATATATATTATGACGAACGCGTAGGCAGCTGCAGGTGTGTATAATAATATATGATATACACAAAATTATGTCTACCACCGTTGAACAGTGTATATTATTATGTATATAATAATAAGAGCGTCGATGGGGGGTTTTATTTTTCTCGTTAAAATTTATTTCCCCGTTTATTACCATTATTTTACATTTTAATATTATATTATTATTATAATATAAATGCCGACATTAAAATATGGAAATATTAAAATATAAATATCATATTATTATACCGTCATCTAAAATATGATTTATTTTTAATTCCTTAAACGCGCTATACGATGAATAATGATGATCGTGTTTTTCAAATTTTTTTTTTTACTATTGCAAATTATCGTGTTCTATATATATATTTATATTCACACACAACGCAATATATTATAGGGGGTATATAAAAAAAAACTGATGTTATAATTAGTGTATTAACATAAATTTAAATTGCATTTTATGTTTTTAACCGAAACGAGAACTCATTTAGTTTAAGTACTTATATAATTATATATGCATAA